AAATATCATATTTGATAAGGAAAAAAAATAGGAAGGATGAAAAAGTGGATGTATTAACTTTCCTTTCAACTCATCAAAATCAATCCATTCAAAATCAAAAGGAAAGTAGATAGAAAGTTAATTATTTGTCATTTTTTATTTTTCATCCATCATACCAAATACAAAGAAAAAAAATGTATCATTTCTACTTTTTTTTCTTAAATAATAAAAAATGTATTCATCCTACTTTTCATCTCTCTTATCAAACAGAGTATAAAAAATTACTAATATTTAAATTTATCACTCAGTCCGGTAACTAACAATTGTTGGCCAGAGGCAAGACAAAATGCATAGATCATAATTGGGTGAGCTTAGAGTACGGCCTCATTATGGGCCCTAAGGAAGTCCTGGTTAGACCTGAGGCCCATCCTTAACCCTTCGTCTTTCCTAGCGGCATTAAATACCCCAGTTCAAATTCAAATTCCCCCCCCCCCCCCCCCCCCCCTCTCTCTCACACACACACACTCACTCACTCACGGACTTAGAGTTTTCTCCGATGGCGACAACGAACGCCATCCTAACCACGCCTACCAAAACTCCGACGACGGAGAAAGACACATCGTCTTCCATTTCCAAAAGACACCACCCACAATCAACAATATTGGACCCTTGGAACAGATCATCTGTTTCGGCTGCCGAGTTTAAGAACCGATTTGAAGCCTACAATCGTCTCCAGGCGGCCACGGTGGCCTTCGGAGAGAAGCTACCAATCCCCGAGATCGTCGCCCTCGGTGGCCAATCCGATGGCAAAAGCTCTCTACTCGAAGCGCTTCTCGGTTTTCGATTCAATGTCCGCGAGGTTGAGATGGGGACCAGAAGGCCTCTCATTCTCCAGATGGTCCACGATCCTACGGCATTGGAGCCCCGATGCAGATTTCAGGTTTTTTTCACATTGATCAATTGATACACAAGTAATTAGGGTTTGATTTGTTCTCTCTGAGACACACTTGCACATGGCTGTATTTGAATTTGAGCACACTAGACACTCAAATTCTAATTGTTAACAGGAGGAAGATTCGGAGGAATATGGAAGTCCTATTGCTTTAGCAGCAGCAATTGCTGATACCATAAAAGCACGGACCGATGCACTTCTGAAGAAGTCTAAGAGCGCAGTTTCTTCTAAGCCAATTGTGATGAGAGCTGAATATGCACATTGTCCGAACCTCACCATCATTGACACTCCTGGCTTTGTTCTCAAGGTGAAGTAGCTGAGAATTACTATTTCGCAGAATAAAATGGTAGAAAATTTCCTGCAATTTGAAGATTTTTTTTCTACTTGCACTGAAGTAATAGGTTGAAATGTGATCGGCAGGCAAAGAAGGGTGAACCAGAGAGCACACCTGACGAAATACTCTCAATGGTGAAGTCATTAGCTAGTCCACCCCACCGTATTCTTTTGTTCCTTCAGCAGAGTAGTGTGGAATGGTGCTCATCTTTATGGTTGGATGCCATTCGTGAGATTGATTCAACCTTTAGGCGCACAGTAATTGTGGTCTCCAAATTTGATAACAGGTTGAAGGTATGAATGCACAACTTTGATGTGATGAAGATAGAATAGGTACTAAAATGAAAGGGAGAATAAAGTTAATCGACTGTTGACACTGACATGTCCATTCTATCTTGAATCACCTTGATGGTCTGTGGTGATTTAGTTTTTAACTCAATTATGCAACCACTGGTCCATGTTGTGGCACGTTGTAATTGATATCTATTTTAACTTAATACTGGAGAAATATTAAGTTCCTGTTATTGGTTGAAGTAGTGTCTTGTATAAAGTGAAATCAAGAAAAATATTTCTTATGGAATAACTTGATTATGGCTCTAACAATATGAAGGTGATCAATGCCATTGCTTGTCCCTTTCTGCAACCTGTAGTTGCCTTATGCTTCAGGATAATTTGTAATTAATGAAGGGATTCTTCCTGTCCATTGGATGGTGTGCATAATACAATTGCTCCCTCTGGATTTTTTTTATGTGGTATAGTTGAAAACTTTTGTGACTATGTCATTAACCAATATAGGAGTTTAATGATCGGTGGGAAGTTGACCGATATCTGAGTGCAAGTGGGTACCTTGGAGAGAACACTCGACCGTTTTTTGTGGCCTTGCCAAAAGAGAGGAGTACAATTTCAAATGATGAATTCCGCAGGCAAATATCTCAGGTGGATGCAGAAGTGTTACGCCATCTGCGTGATACTGTTAAAGGAGGGTTTGATGAAGAAAAGTACAGGTCCTGTATTGGGTTTAGCGCTCTCAGAGATTATTTAGAAGTTGAACTTCAAAAGCGATACAAAGAAGCTGCACCAGCAACATTGGCTTTGCTTGAACAGCGCTGCAGTGAAGTCACAGCTGATCTAGCCAGAATGGACTCCAAAATACAGGCCACGTCTGATGCTGCACATCTTCGGAGATCAGCTATGTTGCACACTAGTTCTATCTGCAGTCACGTGGTTTGTAATAAGTTGACAACCTGTCATTCTATTTACGAGACTCAAAAACATCCATCTAAATATGCTGCTTCAAGAACATGAGCATAAGTTTTTAAACTCAATTGTTTTTAATCAAGCAGGTAACTTTGCTAGTTTGAAATAATTGAACGTGATTTTCTTGTATGATTCATAAAGGGGGCACTAGTTGATGGAGCAGCAGATCCTGCCCCAGAGCAATGGGGAAAAACAACAGAGGAGGAACAGTCAGAGAGTGGTATTGGAAGCTGGCCTGGCGTTAAAGCAGATATAAGACCTCCCAATTCCACAATTCGTCTCTATGGAGGAGCCGCTTTTGAAAGGGTGATGCATGAATTTCGCTGTGCTGCTTATTCCATTGAATGCCCCCCATTATCAAGGGAAAAGGTAATTTTACATTGCAAGAGCAATTCTCCTGGGGATGCAAATTAGAGTTACTTGGATTTGTTAAACTGTGTGACAGGTGGCAAATATTTTACTTGCTCATGCTGGCCGAGGTGGAGGTAGAGGAATTACAGAGGCTGCTGCTGAGATTGCACGGGCAGCAGCACGGTCGTGGCTTGCTCCTCTTCTTGACACAGCATGTGATCGGCTAGCTTATGTTTTGGGGAATCTCTTTGATCTTGCTGTGGAGAGAAAGCACCACTGTGACTTGGACTGTAAGAAGTTATCTACTTTTCCCTTGTTCGCATATTCCCTTTGCTGATCATTTTCCTTAATTTAATTCGAGATGTTTTAGGAATCCCATCTTGAACTATTTATTATTTTCTCTTGATATGATATCTTATGAATACCAAGGGAAATAAATTTATATCTTGCTTCTAAGTGAAAGCACTCAAGTGCTTTCAATAATACAGCTTCACGAGTGTAATCAACTGCAAGTTGATGGTATCCTTTGCAAGTTTTGGATGCATAAGCTGAATTTCATTGCACTCTTGTGTTCTGTACAGAGTCCAGAACTTCCATGTGTGATTTTTTCTTATGTTCTTCATGCTTTAGGATCATGACTCAATCGGAAGATGCCATACTGTCCTGCAAATCTGTACCCGTGCAGAAATATCGCACATAAAAGAATCCAAAACACTGATTTCCGTTGAATTTTCTTTGTGTAGACATTAGTTTTCCTCCCTTTTGGTTACTGTTTGGCTGCTTGTCACATGGTCTTCCTAAGTAGTTTTGGATGCCCATCATATTATACTGTAGGTGCAAGGAAAACTGAAGATATGGATGGCTATGTAGGTTTTCATGCTGCTTTAAGGCACTCTTACAATCGATTTATAAAGGATCTTTCCAAACAGTGCAAGCAACTGGTTCGGCACCACCTCAACACAGCCACAAGTTCCTATTCTCAGGTCTGTTATGAGGGCGACTTCCAGTTGAGTTTTGGTTCAGGTGCAAACTCCATCCAGAGATTCAACCAAGCCTTGGCTGGTTCATTATGCCTTGAGCTATCTGATGGAGGGGCAGCATTCTGCAGTGAAATAACGAAAGACCAGGAGAACATACCTCCAGAAAAAAGTGCACAGGAAACCACGCCAGGGAAAGTTGCAGAAGCCAGGGAAGCTCCTCGAGAAAATCAAATGACTGTGCCTGAGACCCCATCACCTGATCAGCCTGCCGATGGAAACTATCGAATTAAGAAGGAACATGGAAACTGCATGGAGATTGGAGTCAGGAAACGGCATCCTAGACTAACGGGCAACAGCAGGAATTTGGGTGGTGGCGTTTTGATTGTGAGCGGTGATACGGGTGCAAGATCAGGCTCAACTTACTCCGAGATTTGTTCATCAGCAGCACAGCATTTTGCACGTATACGTGAAGTTCTGGTTGAGAAGTGTGTGACATCAACTTTGAACTCTGGCTTCTTACCCCCTTGGTAGGCTACCAAGCTGCTTCTATGTTAAACGTATTCATTTTCACATGAGACTGACTGCATATCCATAAAACAAATTTTAATAATACAGTGTGGGAAATGTTACTATTGTATCACTTCATTGATTGCTAATCATACAACTAAAGCAACTGTTAGGTAGGTATCTAGTAGGGATCATTTTGTGGTTCTTTGCAAAAGAAGGTGCAGATCACAATCATAGTGCTACTATTCCAGTTTTTGCATAGGTTCTGAGATGCTCTTAGATCATTGTGGGATTTTTAGATGACTAATCATTTCGGTTAAGTTGCCAGACTGCTTTATTTCTTTTTTTGTGTTGTTTTTTTCACTGGGATATGTTATTCTTTTTATTTTTGTTCTCAATATAAGCAACTAGACTGTTTCTTGAGTCTATTCATGTGCTCATACCAAATATAAATGTAATCTCATGCTTACTCCTTGCTTCCCTCTTACTTTGTCAAGTTCAGAGGGACTGAATAAAAGCATATTCGTTTGATTTTCTTCATGGATTTCGTGTCCATGTTGGTAAGAAAATATTTGTTAGCTACATGTTAAGGCTGAAAAACTTGGTTCTTTTTTCTCTACAAATGACCAACTTCTTTTGTTCATCTTAGCCTACCCTCGTCAAGTATTTAGCATATCTTTTCTCTGTAATTTACTTATATGCTTATTATGTTGGCACCCACTTACGGTAAGAGATGGACTATAGGTAAATTATTAATCAGCACTTCTTAATGTACGCAGCCGGGACCAGCTTGTGGTAGCACTTGGATTGGATCTATTTGCTGTGAACGATGAGAACTTTATGGACATGTTTGTTGCACCTGGAGCAGTTGATATCCTTCAGAATGAGCGGCAGTCTCTTCAGAAACGACAGAAAATACTGCATTCTTGCTTGAACGAGTTCAAAAATGTGGCCCGGGCACTTTGATGAAACATCCACTTGCTGATTAAACTTCATTGACACCAGTGGAAAGGAGATATGGGTTTCACACCTTGTGAACATTGTGAGTCAGTTGCTTGATGGTTTCTTATACATCATTTTCAATCTGTAAATGACGGCTACGTACTATACTGATTGTGTTTTCACAATCAATTACATTGATTGTTAGTGTACAGATTGTACTTCTGCAAACTCGCACAGAACCACAAATGATTCGAAGTTTTGCATCCGGTGGCCATTTCAAATTTTTAGCTGGGCTCCATAAATTTTTACTCTCAAGGTGAGTTGCTTCAATTTGGTTACATAAAGACCATGCTATCCCTTTGACATGGAAGTTTTCAGAAAACAAACGAACTTATTGCCAAAAACACGAATCTCACTTGTTATGCATTTCTTTAACCATTTGATGGCATTGATTAGATCAATAGAAATTAATCATAGTGTGCCCTCAACCTGTTTGTAACTTGGCATATCTCCCCTCTCTCTCGCGCATGCGAACACACGCGCACGCGCACGCGCCAGCACAGCATCAAGATTACTATAATCTACCTGAGGGTACTGCAGAGAGTAGAAGCGGCCTCAGATGTTACTGGTAATAATAATAATATACACTATGTAGAAAACTAAGGAAGCTTAAAATAAAGATGGACAGCTATGCATCAGCACTCCCTCTGTACTATTCATGAACCTTGCAACATACATGGAAGTGGGCCCCACCATTCCATCTCTAACGTCCCTAATATACCATAGACATAGTCTAGTAAGATATATAATTATATATTTAGGGTGGAGATTACTATACCATCCCAGATATTGATTATGAATTATTCGTTATCATTCTATGACCTCCAGTGCTTCATTGGACTGACAAATATTTACGAGGTCCACTTTGGTTGCACCTTATTATATTTGTATGAGTGAATTATCAAATTAAAGGGGTTTGTGACAGGTCTGCTTTTGGTTTAAGGCATTAAAAAACCTTACAATAGCTTTGTGCTTGTGTCTGTGTCTCTAGTTATTAATTCCAGCAACTGAAAAGAGTGTTTGATTAGGAAAAAAAACAAATGAATCTGTTTGAAAATAACTGCAGTCTATTAGATGAGTTTGAGCTTTAGCAAGGTATATGAACGAGGCTCCGGTTATTATGAGATTTGAAAATGGTCAGATTTACACAATTTAATTTAATGATGTGTTTGGTAAGGTGGATGGAAAAATAGAATTATGAAAAATGAGAGTGATATATTTTTTATTTTTCAAGAGATGAATATTTTTTTTTTCTCNTGCTTGAACGAGTTCAAAAATGTGGCCCGGGCACTTTGATGAAACATCCACTTGCTGATTAAACTTCATTGACACCAGTGGAAAGGAGATATGGGTTTCACACCTTGTGAACATTGTGAGTCAGTTGCTTGATGGTTTCTTATACATCATTTTCAATCTGTAAATGACGGCTACGTACTATACTGATTGTGTTTTCACAATCAATTACATTGATTGTTAGTGTACAGATTGTACTTCTGCAAACTCGCACAGAACCACAAATGATTCGAAGTTTTGCATCCGGTGGCCATTTCAAATTTTTAGCTGGGCTCCATAAATTTTTACTCTCAAGGTGAGTTGCTTCAATTTGGTTACATAAAGACCATGCTATCCCTTTGACATGGAAGTTTTCAGAAAACAAACGAACTTATTGCCAAAAACACGAATCTCACTTGTTATGCATTTCTTTAACCATTTGATGGCATTGATTAGATCAATAGAAATTAATCATAGTGTGCCCTCAACCTGTTTGTAACTTGGCATATCTCCCCTCTCTCTCGCGCATGCGAACACACGCGCACGCGCACGCGCCAGCACAGCATCAAGATTACTATAATCTACCTGAGGGTACTGCAGAGAGTAGAAGCGGCCTCAGATGTTACTGGTAATAATAATAATATACACTATGTAGAAAACTAAGGAAGCTTAAAATAAAGATGGACAGCTATGCATCAGCACTCCCTCTGTACTATTCATGAACCTTGCAACATACATGGAAGTGGGCCCCACCATTCCATCTCTAACGTCCCTAATATACCATAGACATAGTCTAGTAAGATATATAATTATATATTTAGGGTGGAGATTACTATACCATCCCAGATATTGATTATGAATTATTCGTTATCATTCTATGACCTCCAGTGCTTCATTGGACTGACAAATATTTACGAGGTCCACTTTGGTTGCACCTTATTATATTTGTATGAGTGAATTATCAAATTAAAGGGGTTTGTGACAGGTCTGCTTTTGGTTTAAGGCATTAAAAAACCTTACAATAGCTTTGTGCTTGTGTCTGTGTCTCTAGTTATTAATTCCAGCAACTGAAAAGAGTGTTTGATTAGGAAAAAAAACAAATGAATCTGTTTGAAAATAACTGCAGTCTATTAGATGAGTTTGAGCTTTAGCAAGGTATATGAACGAGGCTCCGGTTATTATGAGATTTGAAAATGGTCAGATTTACACAATTTAATTTAATGATGTGTTTGGTAAGGTGGATGGAAAAATAGAATTATGAAAAATGAGAGTGATATATTTTTTATTTTTCAAGAGATGAATATTTTTTTTTTCTCTCCTTTGTGTTTGGTACGAGAGATGAAAAATATGAATAATTGAATTTTTTTTTTTGTAGTGATAGGATGGAAAAAGTATCGATGCATATTTTATTATTATATCTATATATGAAATTAATGTATATAATAAATAAATATGATATATGTATATTAAAGAATATACAGGTAAATAGCATACATTTTAATATATATAATTAATTTTTCATCCAATTTTTTTCTCAAATTTGGAAAGATTAATTTTAATGAGTTAAAAAGAAAGTTAATTTATCTATTTTTATTTTGTTACTAAACTTGATGTTTTATCTATCCTTTTAATTTTTTCTTCCTTCCAATTTTCTATATTTTCATTTTTTTCATAATTCCAAGCAAAGCATAAACATGTAAAGATGCCATTTCTTTGAGCCCAAATAGAGCTCTCTTTGTTGAAGTGGGCCCTCATGGTGGTGATCTAATATTGAGTGAATTGTGAATTGAGAAAATATAACAATGAGGTGGATCATATTCTCTGCAGACAGGAGACCAGTCAATGAGTAAGTTTTCAAGTTACTATTGGAAACTCAGAGGCAAGTTGCCATTCCAATTTATTTTAAGAAATCATTTTGTAGTATGCTGGTATCTTTTTTTCAGAAACGGGGATATTCCCGGGCAATTCTTTAGGGAGTAGCAACGCACTTATGTCGCTCAGGCCTGTAATTTTGAGTAGAACCAAGAGCAAAACCTGGAGTATGAACCAGTCTTTTAATTCATGTATCATTTAAATTAGGACTTGCATTTTGTCAAAGAATTCAAGACTTATATTAGAGATTTAGATATGGTTTGTCCAAGCAAGTGAGGTCTTGTCTTATCAAATTACCACGCTATTGCACTGCCCAGGGGACTTCGAACCACTGACCTTCCATTGGAAAGCCAGAGGCTCTAGTCAACTGAGCTACCCTAGTTGGTTATAGTATGTTGGTATCATTACTGAAGTATCGTAATCTGTTTTTCAATTCATTATGAAAGACTATCTCTCTCTGTCTCTCAAAGTTTGTTTTCGTCTAGCATTTGTTCCCTGCATTGGCAAACCAAGACAATAATATTGATTCCATTAGATTTTCAGGACCTGCCCCTATATAATTTTCCTACAAAGACAACACAATGGCCATTTTCTTCCATCCTTTTCAATTATTGCTTACGCCATATAATTCTATCCTTTCCTCGACTAATCAATCATCTGGTAGAGTCTTATAGTAAGCTTCGTAAGTGTCTATTTTCTATTGGTAGAGCATTTGAATTCGTAGTTGTACTTTGGGAGTACTAAACAATAGAAGACACAGGGATTAGATTAGGTGGTTCCTGGACTTTGGAGGAAGAGAAATTAGTTTTTTATTTAATAGGTTTTTCTCACTTGATTTGCGTTGAGACTAACCTGTCTAGATACACGCAATCACCCATTCATTAAAAAACAATTCTACTATATATAACACCTAAAAAACTTACGTAATTATGAAGAACAGGATCTAGATTTATTTCAATTCTCGTACATCAGATAGCGAGAGAGTGAGAGGATTTGAAATCTATAAAAAAAAATAAGCTCTCTAGCTTAGAAAATTCTGGTCCATGTCACAGCTAGAATGGTTGAAGCTGGAATAGTCAAAGTAGATGAAACTAGCCTTTGGACCACTTCGGATTAGACCAACTACCCTGGACGTAGTCTCATGCTCACATTGGATTTGATCCATCACATTCCCGACCTAACTTATTAATTAGGAACTTATAAAGTCAGATTTAGTAGGCGGTTTAGCTGATGAAACATGTGCCCAACCTCATTTTTTCTTACCAGTTTACATGTATTTGAATTAATTCTTTCTTCGATCCAGACAAAAACAGATTATCTACATTGAAATGAAAATATTTATAAAAAATAAATCTCTCGTGATCTGACCCGAATGAGTTATCAAGACTTAAACTTATGATGGTCCTAGTATCATATCCTTGGGGTTGTGTCTAACCACATATTTGATCTCCATTTAATTTGTTTTTAAAGGCAAGTCTCTTAACGTATATTAGTTAAGAAACCTTATTTTTATGTATTAGTCTTGCTTGAATTTATGACAGATGATCCGCCCGTAAAGCAAAAAATTGTACCCCGGCTTCGACTATGACGTGGAGATATTAGGCCAATGAGACGGACGGTACTAAGTCAGCAATATGAAAGTAGGATTTACTTCTTGTTGTCGGTATTAGAGAAGAATTTGCCACCTCTGTTGCAGAACAACGTTGAAGGATTCAAATTGAAGGTAAGCCGGCGGACCATACCTTATAATACTTGAGTTCTTTTATTCAACTGTAGACATTATGGAAGATTAAACCAATCGAAACTGGCCACGTAAGCCCACTATTAAAATTTACTTGTTTCTTGGTCAACAGTCAAGTAATTCAGTTCTTTTTATATATATATATATATATAAGATTTCAATATTAGGGAAGTATGTCACAAAATTTGATCTATAGCAATAATTTTGATTTAATTAATTATAAAATAAAAATAAGATATCAAAAAAAGTAATATTTTAGTGCCGTAACTTAGACCCATTACTAAAATTATTCGAGAAAAATAAAAACAGTATAAAAGTTAATCTCCGAGTCCTAAACACAAGTAGCTTTTCTTGTCATTGGAAATTTTGTGTTTTAAATAATTAAGAATATTCGAGTTAATTTATATACGCGTCAATTAATTCTGTTTTCGATCTAATCTAAAAGTAGCTGTCTAAAATTAAGATATTTAGAAAGAATGAAATCCTAACTCGTGGATTGAAGGGATGGCAGAGGCTTTGAGTGGCGCAATTCAAGGATGATGATCTACGGACACCAATCCCAATCACAATGCACACAACCACAGTCTCTCTGCAGTCAGTAATGCCTCTCAAGTCAATTCCCAAATTCTATTGAAATTGAAATTTCTACTCATTGCCCACTTGATACTGATGGCTCAAATTTCAAATTCTACCAATGCCCCTTTCCTTTCGTTCCTTTTCTTATATTTCAAAGACCGTTTGAGGTGCATTTACTCGGTAGCCAATCACTTCCCTGACCCCACCAAAAAAGAAAAAGAAAAATCATAACTACACCCTTTCTGGTTTATGCCCTTTCCTTATATTACTTGTTATTCTTTGAAGTTTCAACTTACAATGACCTCTCGTTTTCAAAATTGTTGGTTGACTGTCATTAATATGGAGAAGTTTTAATTTCTATTTGCCCTCATATTTTTTGGCTACTTATGAAAATAACTGCAGCCAAATAGGAATAGTGTTAAATCTCCATAAATCTAACCCAATTGCTATACACTCAATTCACTATCTGAGTAAAAAATTTACCTCTATATTTGAAAATATGCCTCTCTAAGAGCATTACGATAATGTTTCCCAAGGTAAATTTCTTGTTGATTATTAGTCGGATTTGAAAACAAATTTAATGGCAAATTTTGTTTCATTTTGAGTTTTAATTTTTCACAGAGGTGGTCAAACTTGTTTGTACTCGCTTTCTGTGTATGTGTGTGTCTATAGATTCGTGATCAATTAAAAGATCAGCTTGTTGCATTGAGGGCAAAATGGATTGGGGTTTTTCTAAAGGGGAAAAATTGGTAGTTCATGCATAAGATTTGCTCACATCAACATCATCAGATTTTTCCATTGATTGTCATGAGTGAAGGGAGGACTAATCTGTTTCAAGTTGTCATATACTAAGGGATTAAGAGCAATTTTAGAAACAATGAATGGTATATTGAAAATATAAGAAACTAGAGGGGATCTTAATGTAGTTATTCCAAAGAAAAATAAGTCTAGAGAGAGAGAGAGCTTAGAGGGAGAGTGTCTTGACTCTTGAGGGTTTCGAGTAAACAACAAAACAAAAGCCAATAAGCAAAATCCCATTCTTACCAAAGCCTTGTTTTTCACTCATCCATCTCTTCTTCTCCACCCAAACCCCCCCCCCCCCCCCCCCCCCCCCCCCCCCCCCCCCCCCCCCCCCCCCCCCCCCCC